TTGATAACTAAGTTGAGCACGAAGCTCCTATCTAATGGCAGACATGCCAGTCTTATATAGAACCTTCGTTCTCCAAATCCCAAATGTCGACAGCGCGCTCGTCGTGCTGTCGCGCGCGACAATTCGCTTGTCGCGCTGTCGCGCTTTTATCACGTGACTATGAATGCTATGANGAAATCCTTGGATACTCAACAACCCTGAGTAACCACTGCTATGATATAACTACTCTGGATGTATCTGTCCTGTCAGAACGCCGTTTGGACTAACTCGTCACATGCTAACACGTGATTCGTGACACTATATCTCTCGAATAATAGTATATCTAGTAATAATATATAAAGTATCTCTAACGTAATTAGATTAGATGGCTTATATAGCTAAAGTATTATTAATTTTATACTTTATCTAAGTATTAGTTTTATCCTAAGTATATATCTTAGTTAAATTAATTAGTATAATGTTAAGAACTATTTAAAGAACTATATAATCTAGGTAGATTACTTTCTTAATATTAAGTTATTCTAATAAGTACTTTAATAACGTTCTTTATTCTATATAATTAGACTTTCTTTTAAGCTTAGTTTTATTAGCGAATATAAAACCTATACTATTCCCTATAAAAGAAGTAAAAGCTATACTATTAGATAGGTTTATACTTAGGCCTAGAGATCTAGGATAAGCTTAAATTAGAATTAGAATTTATTATTCTTAAGTCTTAATAAATTTAAGATTCTAGGTTCTTAATTCCTTAGTAGATCTTATCTACTAAGTTTATTATTCTTAGGTATAACTTATTATCTTAGATTATTTAACTATAAAAAAAGATCTTAAATTAAAGGTATAAATACTCTTTCTTCTTAAATAAGTAAATAGATGATTATTTAGTTACTTTCGCTACTACTTTTTAAGCTTATATCTAGTATATCTAGATTCTTACTTATTTCTTGTAAAGGATTTATTAAACTTTCTCTTAGTTTAGATATAAATTATCTTAGTAAGTTATATAAATACTCGCTTTTTAATAAGTTACTATAAACTAGACTTACTATCGGATAATTGCTATTAAGGACTTACTCTAATTCGGCTATATATTTTCGTATTCTCGAGTTTAGAAATAGTATTGTTTTTACAAAACCACTTTACAGCCAGGGTATTTCAAGGAGATGATTTATTTATCATGTGCGCGTAAAGGCGCGGTTAATAAGGGGGAATTGCCAAGCCATGGTGTTGCTTACTAAGCATGAATGACATACTTTTGGAGCTTCCCATGTTCTCCGCATTTCACCAGCAGTCAAAGTACAAGGCGTGATATTTGTTGCTCTTTGTTAACTTTTATTTCCGTCTTTTATTATGATGTGTCAGTCCGTCTTTTGATCTCACTATCGTAGCTCTACACATCTTTCGTTTCTATGACTCGCATCTAGGAGTCCTTGACTTGCTCAAAAGCTTTCTTTCAGAATCACAATGAGCCCCCAGTTTCTCATTTAAGTTTATCACCTCGGATTCCGCTACATCTATTCGGTGGTGTTTCACGGGTATGTTTCATAGGGTTTATTGTTGCTGCATGGGGCCCTTTCATGACTCCATAGGCTTTAATAGTATTCGTAAGCGAAGAACAACGGGTTTCAGTCACAAAGAAGACATCGAGACACACAGCATGAACAATGGGTCTGACTGGGCATTTTCAATTCAGCTGAGCTCAATATTCATTGTGACTTTCCACTACTAGCATAGGAAACAAACTACAAGCTTTGGATATTGGATGGCTGTTCTGGCTTCATGGGCGGCCATAATGTACGGAGCTTTCTTTTATGATTAGGCCTGATACAAAATGGATCTAAACTATTGACTCCTTTGAAGAACATCGCAATCGCTCACAATTGGGGGCTGTAGCTGCAAGTTCTTTCCTTTATATATATATCAATTCTTCTTTCCTTCAATCCTGCTTTTACAGTTCACATCATCAGTATCATCATTCCCAGCAACAATCAGCTAATCATTTCCCTTTCAAAACCCTTTTTTATCTTGTCAAACAGACTTTATTGCCAACCGTCTTTTCCTCAGTAAGTAATGTCTTCACAGATGTCAACTGGGGTCAATGAGGAAACCCCGCGATTATCTCCTTACGAGCTTGAAACTTGCTACAAGTTCATATCCGGACACATGCCTGGCCACAAGATGCGTAATTCCGATCATCTTCTTCAAAAAGCATGCCCGGATCCTTTCAAAAGAAAATTCCTTGATAGAGTCGCTCAGTTGTTTTCTAACAACAAATGGGGTAATCATGTCACGGCGACCGCATTAGTTCACAAAAGTAACGATAATTTGGAACTATTTGTCGCGAGAAATAAGGGGTTTCAAGAAAATATAAATGAAGATCTAGCTGACTTCAAGTTTGCTAAGCTTCTGCAAGAAAGTGTCCGTAAACTTTCTTAACCTTTAGGTAAGTGTTCTGCGAGGATTACAACTCTTTTTTCTGACAATGCTTAGCTACGACTGACCTAGAACAGCTTGAGAGGACCGTATGGAATAGCATGGTCGTATTTTACACCCCACGACTCCAAGCATACCATACGGCGTTCAGTAAAAGACTTCGAGACCAGTGGCAACAAGTTATGAGCTGTGTATCCTATGTCAATATTTCATATGACTTAAAGCATGATCTATGTAATCTCGACGGGCTAACCGATCCCGGAATCACGGTGAAGGATCATGGATCGGACTTTGTCGATACATGCCACCGTATCTATCGTAGCACCAATGACGACACAATGAAGCATTGTTTAGCGTGCCGAACAGCCTGGATGAAAATAAGAAGCCTTGTAGGATATATCGCACGTCTTCGAGAGTGTCGCAGCGTTATCATCCATGCTGCTAAAAGGTTGTCTCTCTCAAATCTTGAGATCAAACTTCTTGAAGCGCCGCTACGTGAAATGAGACCAGAACAGGAACTTGATTTTGTCGGATATCTCAAGCAACTAGGGCCTCTCGGTAGCTGGGGTACGCAGCGGACGGAAGATCTTTACCAACAGGCTCCGTTCATTGAATTTCTGGGACGACTTATTGTGAGAAAAAGAAAGTATCTCTGGAACCAGGCATCTATTGACAAAGCATTTAAAGCTTGGTGGGGATCTGAAAATATAATGTCGGGCCACGCAGAAATACAGTTAGTTTTGCATCTCTCTGAGCTGGGAATTACGGAGCCGAGTTACATTGGCTGCAGCAAATACAGCTGTGTATCCTGCTATCGATACATGCATGCCCACGGACAATTTACTACTATCGGTTGTCATCAGCGCTTATTTCATACGATCCCAATTCCTGCAAACAAGTTGCAAATCTCGGAAATTGCTGCCCCCTTGAGGAAAGTTCAAGACGAGTTGGTAAATCACCTACGAATGGTGGTTGTTAGTAAGCTTCCAGAAGGTATCCGTGTAGATGATATTGCAATCGCATCCTCCAGTTCTATATTACCAGTAGCTAACCTGGAAGGAACCACGAGACATCCGAGAAGAAATACATCTTTCAGTTCGCAATCGACAATTGGAGACTCATCTCCCTTTGAGAATCTTGAATATGAAGTAGAAGATGAAGGGTTAGTTTGTATACCTCTTTCGTCTCAATAGTGGAACAGTCCTAACGTTATTTTCCAGCTATATATCCAACTCTACTGACGCAGCATCACATCTTGGGGTCCGAAGCCACGTTATCGCCAGCTCGGGCAGAGAAGCCCATTCTCCTTCCGATAATCAGCTGTCTAACACATCTGATTACTCTAGTCGCAATCTCATAGCTGTAAATGACCGGCAAGCCTCGCAAAAAAGAGCCCCTAGAGGGAAACGATGGCGCAAACCCCGCAGAAATAACGCATATAAGGCTCATAATATTTGAGGATGAGCGAAAAGTCTTTTCTGATAACCCGAGCCTGAGCTTGAGGTTAATGATATGGGAAGAAAACAGTCGTTCAAACCTTTCAAACTTTTCATTGCATTTCTCTTTTCCCCGGAGTTTTTGGCTGTGTTGGGTTTTATCAAAGAGCATCTCATTTATTTACTGCATGTATTTTTTTATTTATCCACTTGTCCGAGTAAAAAGATTTTGATAAGCGAGGAATAACAACCAATTATACTGTAAACAAGATATGCTTTCGTGTGATTACTGTCACGGAGTTGCTTAAATTCAACTCCACAATTACTTTTGGAGTTTGAAAGCGCTCAGGATTATACGAAACTACTTTACAGCCAGACGGGAGTATGTTAAGGACCTGATGATAAGGGGGAACTGCCAAGCCATGGGTCCCAATAAACTGACGCCCCGGCGTCAGTTTAGAGCTGACTAAGCGCGGGTTTTCACGCCCCCCCACCACCGAAATGCGCGCGCGTCGC